TGCGCCACCACCGCCCGGCCATTCTTACATTTTTGTACACCAAATTATTTGCTTAGATTAAATTAAAGAAGTTGCTGAATTAAGGATATGCAGTTTTGAATGTCCTAATACATATTTACAAGTTATTCTTCAAATTATATAAATACTCCTGGTCCTGAGCTCTTTCTAGTAATAATGTGTGTATCTAAATATCTATCTTTCTAAAAGTGTTTTGGTTTATATGTGCTTCTAGTCTCAGCTACTCAGGTTGAGGCAGGAAGATAACTTGAGCCCTGGCTCTTCTGGGCAATTATAGTGACACTTATCTTAGAAAAACTAAGTAATATGTTTGTCAGTGTTATGAAGGCAATATCTTAAACTTTTTTTTTAAAGATTTATTTTTATTTTATGTCTAGGATAGTTTTGCCTTCATGTATATATGTGTACCTTGTGTGTGCCTGGTGCCCATAGAGGTCAGAAGAGGGTGTTGGATCCCCTGGCACTGAAGTTACAGATGGTTGTGAGCCACCTTGGGGGTGCTGGGAACTGAATTGGGATCCTTTATAAGAACAGTCAGTGCTCCTCATTGCTGGGCCATCTCTGCAGCCCCTTTGTCCTTGAGACAGGGCATCTCCTTGCCTCTGTTTTGTGTGTATTATGCATGTATGTATGTGTACATGAAGATGTATCTATGGAGGTCAGAGGACAGCTTTTGGTTCACGCCTTCCACCTTGGTGAGACAGTCTCTCACATTGTTCTGCTGTTGTGCAGTATAATTCAGGCTAGCTATCCTATTGGCTTCTAGGTGGTTCTGTCTCTGCTTCCTATCTCCTTGGAGGACTTCTGGGATTACAGGTGCAGCACATAAGGGTTTTTAGAGCATAGGTCTCTGGGATTGAATTCTGGTTGCCCAGCTTGTGTGGTTAGTGCCTGTATCCATTGAACCATCTCTCCCACTCCTGCTTGGTTTTTGAGACTATTCTCCTGCAGTCCAAGCTGACCTTGGGTTTGCATGTAGTTTAGGAAGACCTTGAACTCCTGCTCTTATGTCTTAAGTGCTAGGATTACTGGTGAGTTGTTGTTGGATAATCTTTTTGTGCACTGTGAAGATGTGTTGCTTTCATTGGTTTAATAAAGAGCTAAACGGCCAGTAGCTAGGCAGGAAGAGGTGGGACTTGAGGACAGGGAGAGAGTTCTGGGATGAAGGAGGGCAGAGTTGCCAGGAGACTCTGGGAGAAGCAAAATGAACATTCAGTATTGAGGAAAGGTACCTAGCCATGTGGTAAAACGTAGATTAGAAATGTGGGTTAATCTAAGTTGTAAGAGCTAGTTAGTAACAAGCCTAAGCTTTTGACTGAGCATTATGATTAATAATACGTCTTTGTTGATATTTGGGAACTGGCTGTCGGGATAGAAAATTCCACCGATTGTGAGTGCCACTGCACCTGGTTTTACACAGTGCTGAGGATTGAACCCAGGGTCTTGTACATGTTAGGCAGTCATTCTTCCAACTGAGCCACATCCTCAGCCCTTAAATTAATTTTTTGTTAAATTAGTTGAACATAATTTGATGCTTGTTGGCTATTTAAATGTCCTGTCAATATTCTTTGCCTGTTTTCTTTTAGAATGTATGCTTTTGTCTAATTCCTTCCTTTAGTCAAAAAATATTAATTGAGCACTTTATGCATACTAGGGCCAGGCACTATTCTGGGTCAACAGAATGGCAAATTCTGTATTAAGGAGCTTGTTTTTGAATGTAGTGAGGAATAAAATAGAAACTGATGGTGGTAATAAGGACTGTAAAGCCAGTAGAGTGGGAATGACGGGTGGAGTGCTGTGGTGAACGTCGCAGGGCAGGGCGTCCTCACTGAAGCGCACACTCGGCTGGCAGCTAGCACAGGCATGGCAGACAGGGAACCATGAGTGCTGAGGCCGAGGCAGGCTGCTTTCATGAGCGACTCGTTTGGTGAGGGAAAGTGAGACATTAGATGAGTTTGGGAGGCAGCAAGAAGTGGGATGGACATGAGGAAACGGACCACCCTGAGTGAGATGGGGGGCACTGGGGAGCTTAGAATCGTGAGGTGACGTGACTTGCCCCACTATTTTTAGGGAATATAAGTGATAGTGAGTGAAGACTAGACTTCAGGGGACAGTGGTGCAGTCTGGATGTGCCACAAGAGGCTCGTGATGGTGTAGATGAGGTTCCCGGATGTGTTTGAGCACAGCCCAGATGCTGATGGGTTGAATGTGGGTGTGGGCAGAAGAGAGAGAGGTTCGAGTCTGGCAGTCGTCAGTGCTTCACCACTCACTGGGCGGGGAGGCATGGGAGAGCCGATGTGGTGCTTAGTGACTTGCAGGCCTTTTAATGTAATTAAATGTCATAATCTTTCATCTAGGCAGGCAAGTCTTCCCCGATGGCTGTTAATCTTGTTAGTGTTTTGAGGTTCATAAATGTTTTTTTTTTTTTTTTTTTTTTTTT